ACAACATGGGTGGTGATGAGGATGTAGATTTGCCAGAAGTAGATGGAGCAGATGATGATTCACAAGACAGCGATGATGAAAAAATGCCAGATCTGGAATAAGGAGTATTGTCATCACCTGGATTTTGAGAAAGTGATTTCTCTGCAAAATTTCATAATTGAGAGAATTCCTGAGTTGATAGCTCTAAAGGTGGATGCTGTATTTGCCTCCTTTAACCCATTTTTCAACCTATTTGTTTTTTTAAAAGGCTTCACTAAGGGTTGATATGTACCATTGTAAGGGGCAGTTTTAAGTCAGCTAAGGCAATAACCTTATGCATGAACATTTCCCAGACTTCATGAAGCTGTTGAGGTCCTAGATAATTGATACAGCAGTTGTGATAAATAAAAACATTTCACTTAAGTCTCCTTTACTTCTTCATAACATAGATACTGACATGATAGGAAGTGCTCAGCTTAGGGAAAGATAAGTAAATTTTAGGGTTTAGAACATGGACTCAAACGTGGCTGAAACAAATTGGCTGACACCTTAAACTGATAACCGGCTATTCCTCTGGTGTATCCTTCAGGAGTGTTCCACTAAAGTTTATTTTTCAAAAAATTCACTTCACATTATTCTATGTAAGTGATCACTTGTCAGTGTTCCAGATGTATCTTAGCTAAAACTAGTGAATGCCCTAACTTAGATGGTTTTTGAAGCCTATACATTTGGTATTGTTTGGCCCTTAAGCTTTTACATCTCTTAGCATGGAGGATGAAGAAAGCTGTACATTGTTGCTTGAGAGTCTGTACATTTAGACCAGATTTGTATTTGCACTGTCAGTATGGCAAATGAGTGAAGAAAATGTTAATACACTATTGGAAATTTTTTTTTATTTCTTTTTTTTTTTCTGGTTCAGCTTATACCAGGGCTGAAAACCTCAATTTATGTTCATGACAGTGGGGATTTTTTTAAATGTCTACATTCTTTCTAATAAACTGTTGGAAGACTTAAAAAAAAATAAATAAATAAATAAATAAATAAATAAAAGTTAAAAAAAATGAAAGTGACTATACTGTCATTAGGACAAGCAAGTCAGCTGTGACCTGGGGAAGTGGCTTCTTGTTACACTGTCAGACTGGCCAAAAAAGGCAGGTGTGTGAGTGAGAAACATAGTGGGGATGTAAATGAGGAAACAGGAAGACCTCCGGATGGCTCTCGTTTAGGAGCCAGTAATTATGCGGGAGGCATTTTCTCATGTACTTCGTCTCTTCACAGCCTTTATCAATGGGTACCACTACTGTCCCTGGTTTGCATTCTGAGCAAACTGACACCAGGAAAGGATAGAATGAGGAAGTCATCTGAGATTCCAAAGGAAGGAACATCATCACCACGAATTGGCTACAGAATGCCAAGCCTTCCGGCTGCTCATCTGAACTCTGTAATGGCCCCGCCTCCCCACCCACATACTACCAAGAAGGACACGAGAAGAAAGGACTAGAAGGAAAGGACTTGGCATGTTATTGAGGCAGTAACACACAGCCTAAGACATAATCCACAGGGGCCTGAATCCCAAGCCACTTTGTTCTATTTAAGAATGGCATGCTCATATGGCATCATTTGCCCTGGCTGTAGACTCCTTATACAACAGAAACTGAGGATTTAAGGAGCAATTTGGGACTATTCCACACATTCCTGCTACCAATCAGGAAATACAGGCAATCCTTCTGAAGGAGTGAGACTCTGTATTCCTCTGGCAGTCTCCACAGAGAAAGAGAAGACCTTACACAGTGTCCTCGTGACTATATTTCTTGTTTTTTGGTTTCTTTGTGATTGAATATGGTTTCTACCCTTTGGGGTTTTGCAGGATTTGCAAGAGGTTATAATGAAAGCCCTAGACTGTATGCACACAAACAGACAACTTTAGGGGGTTCCTGTCCCCATGATGGTTTATCCATAGCCAACCCCCATGGAGGAGTCCATGGCCACAGTTTACGAGTACCTGAAACTGTGGTATGACTCAGTTCTCCAGGCAGCGGGATCTTGGGAAAGTTGCTCCACTTCTCTGAGTTCCGTTTCTAGGCAGCCACCCAGTGAGGGGAGGAACTGCTGCCCTAACTAATGTTGATTTAGAACAGTTATCATGCCGGCGCCGTGGCTCAATAGGCTAATCCTCCACCTTGCGGCGCCGGCACACCGGGTTCTAGTCCCGGTTGGGGCGCCGGATTCTGTCCCGGTTGCCCCTCTTCCAGGCCAGCTCTCTGCTATGGCCAGGGAGTGCAGTGGAGGATGGCCCAGGTGCTTGGGCCCTGCACCCCATGGGAGACCAGGAAAAGCACCTGGCTCCTGGCTCCTGCCAGGATCAGCGCGGTGCGCCGGCTGCAGCGGCGGCCATTGGAGGGTGAACCAACGGCAAAAGGAAGACCTTTCTCTCTCTGTCTCTCTCTCTCACTGTCCACTCTGCCTGTCAAAAAAAAAAAAAAAAAAAAAAAGGACAGGTTATCACCATGGAGGTATCCTCATCCAAAAATCACATGAAGAAATGACGAGAGAATTGAGACCCATTATACAGAGAAAGCAAAATCCACGGAAACACACAGGGCTCTGAAGTGGGCTGGAAGCACTTTTAGGTGAAGAAACAACTCATCTTATTCTTAAAGACACTCCAGAGTGGGGGTTAGCAGGAAGCAGCATGGCGGGACTTAAAGTGCTATGTGCTATCAGAACAGAAACAAGGGTTAAATCCACATCGTACTACTCCCTTTGACTCAGCAAATAAATGAAGGATTCTAAAATGAAGGAGAAAAATGGTACCTAAGTCATAGGAATTTGTGAAAACTCAAGAAATAACATGCACAGTGTTAAAAAAGGGAAGACCTAAGAAGGCAGTAGTTTGCCCTATAGATTGTCTGCTGCTCCATTTCTTTACCTGTAAAGTGGGGATAATTTCTATGCCCACCTAGACGGTCATTTTTCTGTAAGATTTAATAAAAAGTTGGATGTGAAGACCTTTAATACAATGCCTAACATGTAGTTGATTCCTCAGTGAGTGGTAAATTCAGCTATGACATTGCAAGTTTAATTGCAAAAAAAAAAAAACCAAAAAAAAAACAAACAAACAAACAAAAAAACATAGAAGATAGGCTGGTAAATGAAAAGAGCACGACCCTTCATTTCAGGTTAGAATGACAGGTAAAAGAAAGTAATATCTAAGAACATGTGATCAGAGCTAGACTGCTGGACTGGCAGCTCAGAGCTGTGCAGTCTTAGGAAAGGTAAGTGTAATAGGGATGAGAGCATTGGCTAAGGAGGGATTAACTGAAATGGTCTGTGAAAACATCTGACACTGACACAGCACATAACATGCACTTAGGAAACCTTCTTTCTTGGATAAAGACCGAGTGCTACATGGAGGCTGACTGACCTTAAAACAAGTTTCTCTTCAGTAATGCAAGCTACGGATACTGCACAAATATTCTCTCTCCTTTAGTCAAGAATGAGTGAAATGGAAATTATCAGAGATATTCAAGACATCTGATGACCTTTTGCTCCCTTGCATTTCAATGTAAAAACTCCAAGATTTAAATTGAATGAAGGTTAACATTTTACAAACACTCTGCCCATCCTCTGTTACCTTGCTAGTCACCACCTTCTCTTCTGCCAGAAAACAGCCTCCCATCCTTAATGCATCTGATAGACGCAGAGGGTTTAGAGCTTTGACACCCAGTTTCCCTTAAGTTATTAAGTCCTGGTGCAGATTTTCTAGCTTTCCGAGGTGTGAGTTGGTGCATGACAGAGCTTTTCAGCATCAGATCACCCTTGCATTTCATCCTGATTTATCGTCTTGTTTCAAAACCTATCCCCCATCCACTCATTCTTGTCCGTCTTCTCTAAGTCTATCTTCTGAGCCTTTGTGAGTGATGACACGTTGCCTCCTTCACAGAGTTAAAGGATGGCTCTTTTCTGGCTAATAACCATATAGGGAGACACTCAAACTCTTTGTAAATCAGGGCATGAAAAGAACAAGATGACACTCTTTTCCTCAGGAGATGGGAAAACGTTAGACAAATGGTCATTTCAAGTGTAGGGTGGATATGAAAAAGCAGATAATCAGTGGATGAGAAAATAGATTGGCACAGCCTTTCTAGAAGACAATTTTGCAATGGCTATACAATTTAAAAGGGCACATTTCTTTCAGGCTTGGGTTTCTTCTTGGTCCCCACCCTAAGTAATGAAACACTGGCATAAGTGCTTGAGGAGGCATGCATGTGCCAAAATGTCTACTACAGCACAATTTATAATAAGGAGGAACTGGAAGAACCAGAATGCCCCTCAATGGGCAATAGAGACTAAGAATCAACAGAGCAGGGAAGATTGCACAGCAATTTAACATAATCATGCAGATCTCCCTGGACTAAAAGAGAAAATGGTCTAGCAGATAATGTTAAATGAATAAAGCCAAACATAGAAGAATGCATATAATTTAATAGCATTTTTAAATGCGCAGAACTATGTATTTCTGCATCTGTATGCACACGTAAGGGGATGACACAAAGATCTGGAATGACCATCTTCAATTCATAATAGTGATTATCTCAGGAGAAGTGGTCAAAATAAAGGAGAGGCACCAAAGAAGATTTTCTTCCTGTCTGTTTCTATCTGAATATATGTCTATCTGTGCCCTAAAAAATGCTTTAGTATAATGCTTACATAATTTTAAATAAGTAAATAATAGCCTGAAAAATGAACAGGTAATTTCCCTACCACCATTCCTGGCTTTAAGCCAGAAGTTGCTGAGGAAGAAGAGAGACCTAAGCAGAAGGTTCCAGGAAAGAGCTGAAAAGTGAAGAAGAGAAGCCAGCAGCAATGCTTGAGTATTTTTCACTTTTACCCCAGTTCAAAGAAGGATGTGCAACACGACCAGAGTGGAACAAAAATAGCTGAATCCCTAGACATGCAGGTGGGCAACAGATTGCTCCCACAGCCAAAGACAAATCATTCATGAAACACAGGTTCCTTACCTCCAGTCACAGGGAAAATCACTGAATCGTTCACTTTCCTTGTCGATGCCTGGGACGTTGATGGGAGAACCCGAGATTCAGACTCTTTGAAAAAGCAAAAAATAGAAGGAAAAAAAAAAACTGTTAAATTTCAACTTTGAGTTTCAACAAAAAAGATTCCCATGCTTAGAACTGGAATGAGATGGCTAAATGCTATCTAGTCCAGTATGTAAAGGCAAACATGCTTGAGATATACACACATATTGTCAGAGAACCGCACATGTCAAGGTCTCTCAGAGCAAACGTTGTGGCTCACTGGTTAAGATATCACTTGGGATGCATACATCCTATATCAGAGTACCTGGGTTCCAGTCTTTGCTCTGCTTTCAATCCAGCTCATGTGCACCTGGGATGGTTTAAGTACTTGGGCCCATGCCACCCATGTGGGAGAACTTATAGAGTTCCAGGCTCCTGGCTTTGGCTTGGGTGAGCGTTACAAGCATTAAGGGAGTGAACTAGTATATGAAAGATCTCAAAATCTCTCTTCTCTCTCTTTCCTTCCCCCTCTGTTTCTATATATCTTTCACTCTGTTGCTCCGTTTTTCAAAAAAATATAAATAAATAAATAAATAAATAAATAAACAAACAAACAGAACTTTAAAGAAGCCACACACACACACACACACACACACCAAACACACCCCTTTCTATTTCTTTCTCTTCTCTCTTCTCTCTCCCTCGCTTTAAGCCACAGGAATGAACAAGCCACAAACACTGCCCTGATACCACTTTACTCCAGGGAGTCTTCATGGTGCAAAGGATCAAGGTCATGTCTCCTCATTTGGTTCAACTACGTGTCCATTCAGTGTGTTTCCCCACCCTCAGTCCAAGGGAGAGGGAGCGCGTATCCACATACCTTCTGAAGTGAGTAAGTCAGTGTCTGCAGAGGTTGCCTCAGTGCCTTGCCAAGACTCACTGGAGACAAGAAAAGTTTCAGATTCTGAAGGAAAAAAATGTTTGACAAAAGGAAGCTGAAAAATAATAGTACTAACAGTGTTGCTGGTGGATGGGGGGATTAGGCGGTACTTTAGGTCATCTTTGTGCTTCTCAGTGGGTTTTAGGTTTTCCTCAAGGATTGTGGGAAATTTTAGAATGAAAGAAAAAAATAAAAATGTTATTTTTTAAGATGATCATTTTAAAGCACAAAGGAACAAAAGATACACTCAGAAATGGTTTGGTTCTGGGTTCATGGATTTGGGGTGACTACTCAGAGTGTGAGAGAATTGGCCAAATTATAAAGCTGTTAGAAAGATCCAGACCTTATTGAGACAGGTAAAACCTCTGTGAAAGCCTTTGAGCCACCTTATGACTGCTTTCCAGGGTTCTTACCTCAGAACCAGAGGTTGGAATATGGTGGGAGCTTTGACAAGTCCACCAACCAATGGAGCTAATCATTCCATGACATGTACAAAGTGCACAGTCAAGAAATGAAGAAAGAAACAAGGACAGAACCAATGCAAAATGTCGAGGAATATGATAAGGAATTGGGAGGCCCCTCCTCAATGTTAAATCTCTAATGCCTAGGCAGAGACTTAACCCTAAAGGTTAGAGTCTGACCCAGAATGACCTTTCCCAGTTTTTCAAGAAGCAACTCCTGCAAGAATACTGGGAGGTCAACTGGAAACCCCAAAATGCTGATTATTGAAAAACAAATACAAAAAAGAGGAAGAAAACCATAAAGCAAAGAAAAGGAACAATTTAGTGAAACCACATCCACACCCATCCACACACACACACACACACACACTATTATGCACTGAATGGTGTCCCCTTGAAATTCATGTTGTAATGGTAACACTCAGATTATGACCGGATTTTGAGAGATGGCCTTCAAATAGGTAATAAGACAAAAGGTGGTGATTTGGATACAGTCTAGTCTGAGTGGTATCCTTGTAGGAGTTCAGGACAAGGAAAGACAGAGAAAGGCCATATAAAGACAAAAGGAGGGGACTGCCATCCACAAGCTGAGAAAGAATAAAAAGAAACCAATCCTGGGACTGGCACTGTGGCATAATGGATTAGGCCACCGCCTGCTGTACTGGCATCCCCCAGCTCCCTGTTAATATGCTTCTGAAAGCAGCAGATGATGGCCCAAGTATTCGGTCCCCTGTCACCCATGACAGAGACCCAGATGAAGCTCCTGGCTCCGAGCTTCGGTCTGGTCTAGCCCTGGCCATTGCAGCCAGGTGGGGAGTGAACCAATGTATGGAAGATGTCTCTCTCTCTCTCTCTCTCTCTCTCTCTGCATCTTTTCTTCTCTCTCTGTCACTCTTTCAAATAAATAAATAAATCCTTTTTAAAAATCACAAAACTTAAAAAAAAAAAAGAAACAAATACGATTGACATATTGACCTTGGACTTCTAGTGCCCAGAAATGTGAGATAATAGATTTATGTTTTTTAAGTCATTCAGTCTGTGGTGTTTGTTACAATGGGCCTAGCAAACCAAAACACACACACAAACACACACACGCAGGAGAACAACTCACTAGGCTGATTGCTTCAAGGAGAGAACCTTGCTCTGAGGAAACCAAGACACATTTGACCAGCAGGATTCTCCATGTACCTGCCGTGAGGATGAGCTCTTCCGTAGAAGGTTCAGTGATGAGAAATTCTGTGTATTCTTCTGGAAAGGAGCTCAGTGCTGTAGGAGGGGGCGTGGTTGCTGTTGCTGGAAGGACAGAGGTGGTTGTTGTCTGCAGCATTGTCTCAGTTGCGAAGTCAGGTATACTCATGGCTGTTGTTGGAAGTACAGTGGTGGTTGTTGTCATACGAGGGGTGGTAGTTGGATGAGTGGTTGTTGTTTGGCAAGTGGTTGTTGTTTGGTGAGTGGTGGTTGTTTGGCGAGTGGTGGTTGTTTGGCGAGTGGTTGTTGTTCGGCGAGTGGTTGTAGGGGCTGTAGCAACAGAAGGTAAGAAGATAAGCGTGACATCAAGAACAAAGCAAGGAGAAGGAAAACAACACAAATACCAGGGTACCTCAAAAACCTTGTGGAAAAAATGGAGTTAAAAGATACACTTATTTTGATGTCAAAATAGTTTGATAACATATAGCTTTTTCATAATATGCAATTTCCATGAATATGGAAATATGCATTTTCATTATTAGGTTAATGAATTTCAAAAATTTGTGCACCAAAAAAAGCCCATTTTTACTATCATTTTTTACAAATTTTGATCTGCAATCTGACCATTTCTCTGCATTTCTGTTGCTCTCACTTAGTCCATAGGCCTGGACCATTGTAATGCCCACTGAAATTGGGTTCTTTGGCATGGGCATCGTGGCACAGTGAGTTAAGCTGCCACTTAGGATACCCATATCCCCTATCAGAATGTGGGTTCAAGTCTAAGCTCCTCAGTTTCTGATCCAGCTTCATGCTAACACATACCCTAGGAGGCAGCAGATGATGGGTCAAGTGCTTGGGCTCTGCCACCCACATGCGAGACCCAGCTGGAGTTCTGGGCTTCTGGTTTCAGCCTGGCCCAGGCCTAGCTGTTGCAATAGATGAAGATTTCTCTCTCTTTCTTTCTTTCTCTCTCTCTCTCCCTCCCTCCCTCCTTCCCTCCCTTTCAAGTAAATGAAAATCAGTAACCATTTAAAATTAAAATATAATAAAATTTGGTTTCTATCTTCCATTCCTGTTCCTTCCAATCCATACTTCACACTTGGACTAAAATAATCATTTAAAATGAAAAATTGATTTATTTCTACTTCCTGCTTAAAACTTGCACAGGGTCCTCCTTGCCATTGAGATAAAGAACCCAGTCCTGTACTTGGTCTGTGAGACTCTATCTGTGTTGGCATTGCCTTTCTTTCCAATCTCCTGTATCCACTTCCCTCTTTTCACATTGTTCCAATCAACCAGCCTTCCTTCGGTTCTTTGAACACATCATGGATCTTCCAGTCACAGAAACTTGTACTTGCTCTCTCCTACTCACTCATCCCAAGGCTGACTGACTCCTCATTAACCATCAGGTCTCAACCAAAAGGTCATTTGTTCAAGGAGGCACCCAGATTCTGCAATAACTGCAAAGCTTCTCTGTTATGTGCTATCCTACTTTACATTCTCAGCATTTATGCACTGCCTAACTGCACATGTGATTATTATTGTTCAGTGGCTGCTTCTCCCATTAGAATGTAAGCACCATAAGGGAAAATCTGGTAGTTATTCTGTTCTCTACTACAAATTCAATCCCTATCACAGTGTCTGGAACATAGTAAGTGCTCCCCAAACATGGCACTGATATACAATGAATGAGTAAATGAATGAATTCATCAAAAGTGGGCTCAGAGGATGCATTGTGGGGTGAGAATATAGATTCTTTCAGGTATTAAACATTGGTTCATGACCTCATCTCTCACTTCTAAGCTCCTGAATTTGGGCTCATTAACCACAGTTTATTCTACAGATCTTACCCTCTCTGTAAAATGCCAAATTTCCTGAACTCTAATGGACTGGAAGATACCATTCATTCCATTGGAAATGACCTCATAGACTACTTTATGTCAACAAGTGTTTTATAAAATAATTCATGGATATACCAGGCTTGAAAAGGGGAGACTTCAGTTGGAGTAATTTAGCCCCAAAAAACTTTACGCTCCTCCTCTGAAAAACTGGAATAATACTCTCTCAGAAAGTTGCTTCAAGAGAAAAATATACTAGTGTATGAAAATCCTCTAATTGGTAGTACCCATAAAAATACTCATATTTTAGAGTACAGAGTGTCCTGAGACACTCAAGGAAAGATATATTCATACCCTGCCTTCAAAGGTGCTGATCCAGTTAGGAATAGAGTTAGGGATCCAGTTAGGAACAGAGCCCCCAGGTGAGGCTGAATGCAGGTGTGATACAGACCTCACCTACAGAAGCTCCATTGCAGACAAGCAGTAAAGGTGTATTGTCAATACAACTCTTCCTAGACTTATTGCCATTCACTCCATGCAGCTCAAATCTTCAGAAGTCCCACCACACTCTAAATATTGTCAAAATAAACTGACAGTAACAGAAGCAAAGAACACCTGAAAACTACCGTGTCTGTCTCCAAATCCTTTGCCCTTTCCCTTGGTGACAAGTAGCAAACTATTGGCTTACAAACTAAAGCTGACCCGGGGACATATTTTATTTTCTTTACATGTTATTTTGAAAGTGTTTCAACATGAAAGACGCCAGATAGTTCAAATAAAAATTGGGAGATATGAAAATATTGTGCTCAAATCTGCCAGGTGACCTCCCCTAGATAAGTATGAGATGCTCTACTCAAACTGAACCTGCCTTGGCTTCAGCAGTACTGGAGATTAGCTGTCAGCCCTGTATTGTAGCTCCTCACTTCAAATGGAATCTTCCAGTCACTGCTTACATACGTACAAACTCATCCCCACCACCCACCAAATCCTTCACTTGTTAACATCTGCATTTCTCCTCCAGCACACAAAGCCCTTCATATGCTCACCTCTCCTCAGCTCCAGGCGAATGTTCTTCTTCACGTCATTGAACCAGCCAGGCACCTCTATGCGGCAGCAGTACACACCACTGTCACCTTCATGGGTATTGAAGATGGTCAAGGAGACGTCGCCTCTCTGGATATTCCCCTGAAGCCTGTATTTGGCTGATTTACCTGAGATGACCTTTGTTCCATCGGTATGGAGAATCTCCTGGTTGCATTTGGAATTAGGGCATGGGCCTCTGCCCCAGCACATGCTATTCCTGCTCTGAGACCAAGACAAGTGTAGACAGGGCAGAGTCACCGACCTACCCAAAACTGCTGTCCAGACCATCTCTGAGGCAGCTGATGCTGTGAAGGACAAGGAGAAAAGCAGTTCACACGGTCCTAAAATCTCTCAGACATGATGTGCAGTTGGTGTGCAATCAGATACTTCCAGGAAGAGGCAGAGGGTAGAGTCTATACTACTCTTGAGCTTATATCTGGGTGTGTCCTTTGGCTCTGCCAAGCTCCTAACTCCTCTAAGGTCTGTCCTGAGTGGAGACAGTTGGCCACTTGAGTGTCTAAATTCAACTCCACAGCAATGTCTTTTTGCTGATATAAATACTCTCATTTTGAGGACCATTCAAGAAACTCTCAAATGAAAAAATCCTGACCCTAAAACCCAATTCTACTGAATCGTATAACCAGGTCCAAAAATAGCATTCTACCCATTGTATATCAATAAGCAGGGATCACGTGCTCCTGACTTAAATGCTTCAAACAAGATGCTCTGGACCATCGGTTTGCTGTTAGATAACATGAATTTAGGTGGAGTTAATGAATTATTTATCTATTTATTTTACACTGAGAAAATAGTAACTACATAATTTATAGAATACAATGTAATTTTTAAAATATTTACTTACTTATTTGAAAGACAGAGTTATAGAGGGAGAGAGAGAGACAGAAAGATTTTCCATCTACTGGTTCACTCCACAAATGGCCATAACAGCCAGGGCTGGGCAAGGCACAAGCCAGGAGCCAGGAGTGTCTTCCAGTTCTGCCATGTGAGCACAGGGGCCCAAGCACTTGAGCCATATTACACTGCTTTCCCAGGCATATTAGCAGGGAGCTGGATCTGAAGTGGAGCATCCAGGTCACGAACCAGCACCATATAGGATGTCGCAGGTGGTGGCTTTACCTACCATGCAACAAATCTGGCCAGACAATGTGATGTTATGATCTATATATATATTATAGAAAGATTCAATCAAGTTAATTAACATATCCATAACCTTACCAACTTGATTTTTTCATTTATGGAGAGAACATTAAAAACCTGATCTTTTAGCAGTATTTTTAAAAAGACATTTTATTTGAAAGGCAGACTGACTGACAGAAAGAAATTTCTCATCTGCTGATTTACTCTCCAAATGCAACAGCCAAGGAGGGGCCAGGCTGAAGCCAGGTGCCCGGCACTCCATCCAGGTCTTCTAAGAGGCTGGCAGGGGCCTGAGTACGTGGACCAACATTTAGTCCTTTCCCAGGCTCATTAGCAGGGAACTGGATCAGAAGCAGAGTAGCCAGTAGAACCGGTGCTGTGATTTGGGAAGCTGTTGTCACAGGTGAAGGTTTAACTTACTGCAGCGCAATACTTGCTCCTATTTGGCAAGTTTAAGACTATATAAAACATTACTAACTTTGGTCACCATTCGAAGAAATAGATCCCTAGAAGTTATTCTTGCCCGACAGTGCATGCCCTCTGATCAACATTCCTCCCTTTCCCATCACCCTCCTCCTGCAAACCTCGGCTAATCACATTTCTACTTTCTGCTTCTCTGAGATTGGCTTGCCTAGATTCTGCACATAAGTGACAGTATTTAGCTTTCTATTCCTGGCTTATTTCACTTACTGTAATGTATGTTTGGAACTGTCAGAGCTATAGGGGTCATGGGAATTACCTAGAATGGCATCTGTAAACATAAAAAATGCTAGAGGCTTAGGTTTACCATGCTAGCTGTATGAGCTGGAACGCGTAAGCACTTAGATGAGGCAGCAGTGTTTCCCACCTTGACCACTCATCAGCATGGCCTGGGGAGCTTATTAATAACCTATGTTCTTGTCCAATCCTGAGTCACAATCTCTGATGGCCAGACCCATGGATATGCACGTTAATCACGTTCCTGCTTATTCTACTACAGCTGAACACTCACCCAGCACGTGAAAACCATTAGACAAGCTCTTCTAAGTGTACTTCCACTTCTGAAAATCTGTGAAACATATTTGTTATTGCAATCTCAAGCCCATTTGTTCAACTGTGCATCATTAAATGCTCTAATCCCTACTCCATATGCCATGGAAGGGAGATCCAGGCAAGCTGTAGTTCTCAGAGGGTGAGGGCCACATCGAACTTCTGCCTGGGTACTTGGGTTCCTGCTCATTGTTTTCAAGGTGCCTTCCCATGAGACTCTCCATTCCCTAACATGCGTGACCCACTTGGCTGAGTTGTAGGACATGACCAGCTGGCCCATGCTCCTCCTTAACTCTGCTGTCAGAAACATGCAACCTTTCCTCCCTGGCAGAAGACAGGCATGAGGCCTAAAAGTCAGCTAGATGCCAAGCAAAGCCACGCTTCTTGGGCTTTACCCAGATGGCTTTTTTTTTTAAAAGATGCATCTGTTTATTTGAAAATCGGAGAGATCTGCTGGTTCATTCCCCAGCTGGACGCAACAGCCGGAGCTGAGCCAATCCAAACTCAGGAGCCAGGCGCTTCTTACAGGTCTCCCACGTGGGTGCAGGGGCCCAAGGACTTGGGCCATCATCTACTGCTTTCCCAGGCCATAGCAGAGAGCTGGATTGGAAGTGGAGCAGCCAGGACTTGAACCAGCACACAAATGGGATGCCGGCACTGCAGGCCGCAGCTTTATCCGCTACGCCACAGCACCAGCCCCCCAAGATGGTTCTTAAGGACAAAAGTCATTGCACATTTGGCCCATCCTGCAGCCTTTCCCGAATTAAGTCTCTACTTTGTCCCAGTAGAAATGTCTCACTGATAACAAATGCTGTGAGAAGTCCATTTTGTCCCCACAGGAAACCCAGCAAGTTACCAGAAACGTGCTGCAATCACCCTGAGCTGTGTTGTTAACATAGCACATATGCATCTAAAACTAATAACTACTAAAGTATGAACCTGTTTCAATGAATATTGGGCAAATTTAAAAGATACACACAAGAATGATTTCTACTAAAGATTCAGCAGTTTGTTTTCCAGAGTATTTTAAAGGAGCCATCGTATTATTCAGCAAGATCCAATAGAAAAAGACCGGCAGAGGATATAATAGGCAACTCATAGATAATGAAAGCAGGTAATATATTCCCCCATTTGACTGACAAAAATATAGAACTCTGATACTACTAGTATTGGCCAGCTTGTGAGTAAACAAGGCTACCCGTCACTGCCAAAAAAAGACCTAGGAAAGAACTTTTAACTTCTGAAGTAAACTGGAGTGAAGTGGGGATATGACCTGGCCCAGCCATATTCTAGAGCAATTTGGCATTTTCTATTAATATTCAACATGCATGTGTCCTAGCAGTTTCATATCAGTTGTCTATCCTGGAAACACACACACACACACACACACACACACACACAAGGACACCTCTTGCAAATGTTTACTACAGCCTTTGCATGTGAGTGGAAAAGATAATACCACACACATGGCTGAACTGTGATGTGTTTATTCAACAGCATTCTACACAGATAAGTAGTATCAGACCTATATGAATTGACTTGAAAACTACAAACCATACTAATGAATGAACAGGGAAAATTCTAGAACAACACATAAAATATAAACCCCCTTTTCCTAAGTAAATAAAAACATCTTGCATGTTTCCTTGGGGTTGGGTGTATGTGAGTAAATGCATAGAAAAGTGTCCTGCTGATGGACCGCACACTCACTGTCAGCTACCTCACCAACCAGAGGAAAGAAAATTCAGAGTCGGAGTAGTTAGCACCAAGCTCCAGAGATTTGCATTTTATAACATTTGATTTTTTTTTCACTGAGAGTGCTTCTGTATTACTCATCTGATTAAAAATTAATATTAGGAAAAGGAAGCAGGCATCTTTGTGAGGCAGAAAAACACCCATTAAGCTCACGTTGTAAATCTCATTCTTCCAGTTACTGTTCTTTTGTTCTTGGAGGAAAGCCACAATTATCATTAGCATAAGACAAAGAGGATAGTACTCACCCCAGAAATGGCCCCAAGGTTCACATCAGATGAAGTATGGAAGCCACATGAAATTAGTAGTGTATTAGTAAGGGAAATCAAGCACATCAGAATTTAGAAATAGGATGAGAAGCCATTTCATTCAGCTGCAAAAGTATCCTGGAGATAGGGAATAATTGCGATCAGGTCAGTTTCCCTCCTCTGGAAGGACCCGGAGTCGGTATGACCTAGGTCTGGCACCAGCTCTGCTGCTCCTGTAGATGATGACCTTAAGCAAAAGCCTTCCCAAGGCAAGATCTCACTTGCACTCTCTGCAGGATGAGGTGTTTGACTAGGCATCTGTATGGAGCACATCCAGTTCTGAGCCTCAGTAATTCTAAGCAGTCACTCTCATCTAGTTTGGTCATTTTAGACAACAGTACATGAAAATAAAAGCACAAATCGGTTCACCAGGTGCTGCCCCCTTTCCAGCAGATTGGAGAAGTCCACTCAGTCAGTGTCCTGGCAAAGCAGGACAGGTGGGCAGACACCGGCAACTTCCACCACCACAAAACGCTCCAAAGCTCAAGGTCCTGGGACAAGACAAAGGCCAGTTACTAATGCAGAGGAAGATGGTGGTCTTCTTATATGCAACATATAATGCGCTCGTGCCAAACCCAAAGTGCAGATGACACAGAGAACACTCACCCCAGGATGACTATCTCCTGAGTTATTTATTACATACCCAGCATGGAACTGGGTGCTGGGAGACAGCAAGAAACAGTGTCTGCCCTCACGGGGCCATGCTGGGTGTCTGGGCAGAGAGGCAGCTATGTGAGAGTGACGGGGAGGTGATGAGTACTCTCATCTTGGTACATCAGGGAGGAGGAGAGCTCAGCAGAAACACCTAAAGCAGTCCAGAGGCTACAAGGAGCCAGGAGAGGCAGCATTTAGTGGAGACCTGAGAATGCACAGTTAGCTACAGAGGAAGGAAAGGCAGAAGGAACAGCCTGATACAGGCTTGCGAGGGGAAGGGAACCCATTTGTTTTCCTTAAAATGTAGATGTTTTCTCATGTAGGGTATTTGAAAGATTCATGAGACACTGACCATGAACTTTTAAAACTGCAAGGGTCATTAAATATTGTCTAATCCTCTAATCATAGAATGTTAAAACTGACCCCATGCAGGGCCCTCATGTCACGTTTGGAAGAGCCAGGGCCATTTAGACTCACTCTCAGTCAATAGTTACCGAGTAGGAGGTGGCCGCACCCTGGGCCAGGGCACACTGCCCTAGAGCAGTGGGCTGCAAAGGTCCTCTCCTGTGAAACCCACTTGCATGGTCCAACCCTGGAACAACATGTAGAAAAAAAGCTCACCTCGCAGCCCTACCCTAGTAAAACAAACAACAAAAACTAAAAAATAGTCCTGTAAAGAAAGTGGAGAATGGGAATCCTAACAAGGACTTGTCCCAAAACAAATACCCCTGACTCTGACACCTGGGACCTCAGCAGAGGAAACATCTCTTCCCTATTGTCCTGACCACCCCTTTTGGTGTCTCATCTTAAATTGCCATTTCCATTTTAAGAACAAATTATTCCATACTAAAACCCCCAAATCAGGGAGGTTTAGACTGGAGATGAACCCCTGTTTAACAAGCACAGAGTAAAACTGGGGGCAGAGAGGGAGAGATGCCAGAACAGTATGGGCTTTTACTTTACCGAGGCCCAAAGCAGTGCAGAGAAACCTGTACAGGGCCGGCGCCGCGGCTCAACAGGCTAATCCTCTACCTGCGGCGCCAGCACCCAGGGTTCTAGTCCCGGTCGGGGCACCAGATTCTGTCCTGGTTGCCCCTCTTTCAGGCCAGCCAGTGGAGGATGGCCCAACTGCTTGGGCCCTGCACCCACATGGGAGACCAGGAGAAGCACCTGGCTCCTGGCTTCGGATCAGCGTGGTGCACCGGCCGCAGTGCGCCAGCCGTGGCGGCCATTGGAGGGTGAACCAACAGCAAAAGGAAGACCTTTCTTTCTGTCTCTCTCTCTGTCCACTCTGCCTGTCAAAAAATAAAAAATAAAAAAAAAAAAGAAACCCATACGGCGTAATAGGCCTTCCAGGGACCCCTCTGTGAAAGGCTCCAGAACACTTACTCAGATAAAGCTGCTCAATCCCAATCAGCAACCAGAGAAGGAGAAGTCCTTTGGCCATCATTACCGTTGATGGACCCTCGGAATCCGTCTATTGGTCGAAAATCCATTTCTTATACTACAGTGACTGCTGACAACGCAGGATGTTACAGTTTCATTTCAGTTTTAACCTCGTAATCTTCCTGTTTTCCTGTCCTGAATGGCCACCACCAATGTGGGACACAGAATAAAATGTGCTGAACACTTTGCTCCTGGCGACTAGTGCGAGCAGAAAAACACGCAAAGTAATGGCGTGACCTGGCATGAGCCTGTGTCCATGCTTACCTGACCGTTTCCTGTACATGCATAAACATCTCACGCATGCTAACGCACATGTGTGTGTGCACAGTCTGTATATGGGCCACATTCCTCCTGAGTGCTGTGTAGATTGGGATAAAATGCAATTGACGTCTGCACTGGCAATCGTTTCTTTACACATGGATTTCTCACGTAGGTCGAAAACACTAGATGGAAACTTGACTGCACTCCTATTCTGGCTTGCCCTCTCCCTGATACCTGGCCCCCTTGTCCTCATGAAAGACGAAAAGAAAACAGAGCTGCAGTCAAGCATCCCCTAAGCCAACAACGACCATTAGTGTTAACTGGCAGAGCCCAGAGGACCGGCCACAGATAGATGATATTAAGGCCCTTGTAGGGCCGGAGTCATGGCTCACTTGGTTAACCCTCCGCCTGCAGCGCTGGCATCCCATATGGGCACCAGGTTCTAGTCCCAGTTGCTCTTCTTCCAGTCCAGCTCTAATGTGGCCCAGGAGGGCAGTGGAGTCTGGCCTAAGTGCTTGAGCCCGAGCCCCTGCACCTGCACGGGAGACCAGGAAGAAGCACCTGGCTCCTGGCTTTGGATCAGTGCAGCGCCAGCCGTGGCGGCCATTTGGGGAGTGAACCAATGGAAGGAAGACCTTTCTCTCTGTCTCTCTCACTGTCTGTAACTCTACCTGTCAAATAATAATAATAATAAAGGCCCCTGTGGGCCCCATCAATTCAGTGATACATCCAACTCAACAGAAATTAGAGGATGAGTCAACCACTGCTCACCAACAAGATGTTTTCAAAAACAGGATTGTATCATCATAAGTATTTACTGAATACTTGATTTTATGCCAGGCACTGTTAAGTGATAGAGTATTTAATTCTCACTACCCTAAGGCATAGATGTTGTTTTCTTATTTAACAAATAAGAAAACTGAGGCTTAAGGTGGATAAATAAACTATTTATTCATTCATTCATTCATTCATTTATTCTAAAAAGTTGTAGAAATAAGACTCATGGGGCAGGTGTTGAGGTATAGCTGATAAAGCCACCACCTGTGACACTGGCATCCCATTAGGGGTGCTGGTTTGAGACCCCACTGCTCCACTTTCAATCCAGCTGCCTGCTAACAGCCTGGGAAAACAGCAGAAGATGGCTCAAGTACTTGGGCCCCTGCACCCAGGTGGGAAACATAGAAGAATTTACAGGCCCCTGGCTTCAGCCTGGCCCAGCCCTGGCCATTGTGGCCATTTAGGGAGTGAATCAGCAGGTAGAAGATCTCTATCTCTCTGTCTTTCTCTCCCTGTCTCTTTTGATCTCTCTCTCTCTCTCTCTCTCTCACTCTCTCTCTCTCTCTCTCTAACTCTGCATTTCAAATAAATAAGTAAATCTTTAAAAACATATTTATCAAAAACTAGGACTCGTGCCTAGGACTTCTGATTCCAAACCCTATGCTCTTGCTTCTCTTATCCCAACACTTATTAGGATCTATTTCAATGGTATTTATACACCTATGAATAATTCTATGTTAACTAAAGAGTTTGACCAATGATATTAAGTAGAAAAAGAAAATAATAAAAAATAAAATAAGATAATAAACTGCTCCTCAGCAGTGAAGACAAAGGCTGTACAAAACATTGCTTCTCATGGTGTCAATTTCAGTTTTATAGGTTTCCTTTTAGGTGCTCTGTTAGTTGTCACAGATCAGAGAGAACATAGGGTATTTGTCCCTTTGGGACTGGCTTATTTCACTAAGTGTGGTGTTTTCCAGATTCATCCATTTTGTTGCAAATGACAAGATTTCATTTTTTGTATTTTACAGCTGTGTAGTATTCCCTAGAATACATAACCTATAATTTCTGTATGCAGTCTTCCGTTGACAGGTATTTAGGTTGATACCATGGCTTAGAAATTGTGAATTGAACTGCAATAAACATGAAGGTGAAGATGACTCTTTCATTTAATGATTTCATTTCCTTTGGGTAAATTCCCAGGAGTGAGATGGCTGGGTCATGTAGTAGGTCTATATTCAGATTTCTGAGATATCTCTATACTGGCTTTGATAGTGGTTTCACAAGTTTACATTCCCACCAAGAGTGGATTAGGATAAATTTTTACCCACACCATCGCCACCATTTGTTGTTTGTTGATTTCTGTATGAAAGCCAATCTAACCAGGGTGAGGTGAAGCTTCATTGTGCTTTTGATTTGCATTTCCCAAATGGGTCGTGATCCTGAACATTTTTTTTTTCATGTATCTGTTGGCCATTTGGATTTCCTCTTTTGAAAAATGTCTGTTTAAGTCCATTTCCCATTTTGTAACTGGGTTATTTGTTTTGTTCTTGTGGATTTTCTTAATCTCTTTGTAGATTCTGATTATTAATCCTTTATCAGTTGCATAGTTTGCAAATCATTTCTCCCATTCTGTCAGTTGCTTCTTTGCTTTCCTGTTTCTATTGCCGTATGGAAGCTTCTCAGTTTGAAGTAATCCCATTTGTTAATTTTGGCTTTGACTGCCTGTATTTCTGGGGTCATTGTCAAGAACTCTTTCCTGTGCCAATGTCTTCCAGGGTTTTCCCAGTGTGCTCTAATAATTTGATGGGGTTGGGTCAAAGATTTAGATCTTTAATCCAAGCTGAGTGGATTTGTGTGTAAGATCTAAATGGGGTCTTGCTTCATACTTCTGCATGAGGAAAGCCAGTTCTCCCAGCACCATTTTTTGAAGAAACTGTCTTTGCTCCATGGATTGACTTTAGCTCCTTGGGCAAATATAAGTTGATTGTAGATGTTTGGATTGATTACTGGCATTTCTATTCTGTACCTTGGTCTATCCATCTGTTTTTGTACCAGTACCAGGCTGTTTTCATTTTAACTGCCTTGTAGTATGTCTTAAAATCTGGTATTGTGATACCTCTGGCTTTGTTTTTGTTGTACAAGATTGCTTTAGCTATTCAAGTTCTCATGTGCCTCCATATAAAGTTCAGCATCATTTTTTCAATTCTGAGAAGAATGTCTTTGGTAGTTTGATTGGTATCACATTGAATTTGTAAATTGCTTTTGGAAGAATGGACATTTTGATGATATTGATTCTTCTAATCCATGACCATGGAAGATTTTTCCATTTTTTGTATTTTCTTCTATTTCTTCTTTAATGTTTTGTAATTCTCATCATAGAGACCTTTGACATCCTTGGTTAAATTTATTCCAAGGTATTTCATTGTTTTTGTATCTGTTGTGAAAGGGATTGAACTTAGAGGCTCATTCTCAGCCTTGGCATTCTCTGTGTATACAAAGGCTATTGATTTCTGTGTATTGATTTTATATCCTGCTACCCTACCAAACTCTTCTAGGAGTTCTAATAGTCTCTTGGTGGAGCCTTTCGGATCCCTTATATAGAGAATCATGTCATCGGCAAAGAGGGATAGTTTGACTTCCTCCTTCCCGATTGGTATCCCCTTGATATCTTCCTTTACCTCCTTTCATAGTGATACCATGTTTCTATGTGCCTGCATCCAGCAAATCCTTAAACTGGATGGGTGGTGACAAATTCTTTTCATTTCTGTTTGTTATGGAAGATCTTTATCCCATCTTCATTCATAAATGAGAGCTTTGCAGGGTATAATATTCTGGGATTAAAAATTTTTTTTTCTCCTAAGACTTGGACTATAAGCCGCCATTTTCTCCTAGCCTATAGGGTTTCTGATGAAAAGTCCACTGTGAGTCTAACTGGAGATCCTCTGAAAGTAATCTGGCATTTCTCTCATGCACATTTTAGAATATTTTCTTTATGTTTTACTGTGGTGAGTTTGCTTACAATGTGTTGTGGTGAAAATCTTTTCTGGTCATGTCCTTTAGGAGTTCTATGTGCTTCCTGTACTTGGATGTCCCTTTCTTTCTCTAAATAAGGGAAATTTTCTGTTATTATTTCACTCAAAAGGCCTTTTAATCCTTTGTCTCTTTCTACGCCTTCAGCAACTCCTAGAACTCCATATTTTTTATAGTATCCTGTAGATTCCCAATAGTGTTTTTTGGTTTTTCTAATTTCCTCTTATTTTTTGGTTTGACTACATAATTTCCTGTGCTTTGTCTTCTAAGTCTGATATTCTTTCTTCTGCTTCACCAATTCTGTTGTTAAGGCTTTCCACTGCATTTTTTATTTGTTCTATTGAATTCTCCATTTCATTTTGATTTCTCTTTAAGATCTCAATTTCATGGGAGAAATTTTCTTTCATGTCCTGTATGGATTTCAGTAATTCATGCATTTGCTTCTGACTACTTCCATGTAATCTTATGATAAAATTTTTAATCCAATTTCTTACATTCCTTCCATCTCATCATCTTCACAATCTAGTACTGAAGTGTTATATTCTTTTAGGGGTATTGTGTTGTCTTCCTTACTCTTGTTTCTTGAATTGGTGCATTTGTTGTTTGGCCTTTGGTTTCTTTTTTTTTTTTTTTGCTCTGGTGACTTTTATCTTTGTACTATGACTCTGTAGATAAGCTGAATGTCTGCTTTCAGTGAATATTTAGAGGCTTGTAGTGATGGGTGTGTCTAAGCTGACACACCCAGTTTTGGCACAGTAAATCTTCTCTCTTTTTTTTAATCAAAAGGGAAATTTATTCTGCTCAGATGAGCTCCTCTCCTCAAGGAGACCAGTGCCTGAGTGCTAGCCCCTGTGGATATAAAATTTGTCTGCTCTTTCCCAAGGACCACACAAAAGATCTGTGCAGTCCTCAGTGTAAGTTCTGTTTCCCCAGCAATGTTTCTCACCAGGTAATAAGAAACCCTGAGCATGTGGAGTCTCCCATTGTGACT